GGGTCAGGCCGCCTCAACAGAGAAGTGTCTGCTTTAGGCTGCGTTGTCTTTAGGGTTTTACGATCTACCAAAAAAGCAGCAGCAGCTGTTGCTGCTGCTGCTGCTGTTGCTGTTGCTGCTGCCTGTTTCTGCCGCTGCTACTGCTGCTGCTGCTGCTGCTGCTTCTGCTGCTGCTGCCACAGCAGCACTAAATACGATCCGCTGCTGTTGTCTGCTCGCCTGCAGAGGCAGCAGCCATCATGGCCCCGTGCGGGGCCCCTGGAGCACCTCCAGCTGCTGCTGCTGCTGCTGCTGCTGCTGCTGCTTGTGTCTGCAGCAGACGTCTCCCGCTGCTGCACTCATAAGCTAAGTCAACCCCCAGCAAGGGGAGGCTATCAGCAGCAAAGCAATGAGTAGCGGGGGGCCCCTGCTGCTGCAGCAGGGGGGCCCCCTCCTCCTCTAATACTCCTGCTGCAGCAGCAGCTGCTGCTGCTGCTGCAGTTGCTGCTGCAGATATACCCAGGTGTACAGACAGCAGAAAACCAGGGCGAGGGTGCATGCATTGCTTAACTGCAGATACACCCGAAAAGACATCAAAAAAAACGTTGTCTTGGTCTCTAGCAGCATCAACAATATCTTCTCTGCTGCTGCTGCTGCTGCTGCTGCTGTTGCTGCTGCTGTTGCTGCTGGTATTTCTTCTTTCTGAGGCAGAGAGAAGCAGAGGGGGGTGATAGAAAGAGCTGCTGCTGCTGCAGGAGGAAAAGGAGACAGTAGATAGACGCGAGACTGTCTCTGTCTCTTCTTCTGTCTCCTTTTCTGTCTCCTTTTCTGTCTCTGCTGCTGCTGCTGCTGCTGCATCTGCTGCTGCATCTGCTGCTGCAGCTGCTGCTGCAGCTGCTGCTGTCTTTCTTTTTATTAGAGAAGGAAAGGAGACACGTGAAGACGGAGGGCACGCAGCAGCAGCAGCAGCAGCAGAAACTGCAGCAGCAGCAGCAGCAACAGCAGCAGCTTCAGCAGTGCTGCTGCAGTTGTTTCTCCCTGTCTCTCTAGCTCCATCTGCTGCTGCTGCTGCTGCTTCGGCTGTATCAGCGCCGCAATATTTCCACTGTGTGCGCAGTAGAAAACTGCTGCTGCTGCTGCTGCTGCTGC